ATATCCGAATCAAAGCACCCGACATTATTATAACGCACGATAGAACAACGAATGATTTACCTTCCCAGTTTTATTTGTCACTCTTTCTCTCTGTCTGTCTGTCTGTCTGTCTGTCTGTCTCTCTGTCTCTCTCTCTCTCTCTCTCTCTCTCTCTCTCTCTCCTTTTTCACGAAACAAGTATTTATCCACGTCGACGAGATCGTTTTGTATCCTTGGTTTACGCCGCGAAAAAAGTGGACAAAAGAAGAAAGAAGGAGAAAATCTTTGAAACGCGAGTACCTTTCTTCTTCCCCTTTTCGTTCGCTATCTCTCTCTCTTTAACCATACGAGGGGAAAACGAGTGTCATTAATTTGCTGCCGCTCGTGTAAGAAGAAGAAAAAAAAAAGAAAAAAAAGGAAAAGAGAAAATAAGAGAAAAAGTATGAGGAAAAAAAGAAGGTTTTACTCGAGGTAGGAAGCTAGCTGCGGGTGTTTCTTGATGGGTAAAAACGTAGCGCGAAACGAAAGAGACAAGAAAATCCTTAAGAATGGTGTAAAAAAAAAAAAGAAGATATGAAGAGGAGAAAAATAGAAGAAAATAAAGGTCCGCGAGAAAATGATTCAACGCGTTATTGCGAAAGACGGTTGCGACGTCGAAAGCAAACTGACCACCCACGCACGTCTCACAGAAGGACGATCCGATGGAAAACACTTTTTTCTAACAATAGATTTAAAAATTTGTCTTGTACCCTCCGTCGACTCGAGAATGATGAAGAAAATAGAAAAAGAGTTGTGAGAGAAAGAAGATATGTTCTCCATTGGAATTCCTCTCGGATCCTCGGCATAATCTCCATTTCGTTTCTTCTTTCGACGATGAAACGAATGGATGACCAAAAAGCAAGTCGCTCATGAATCTTCTTGATTTTCCTTCCTTCCTTCCTTCTTCTACTTCTTTTTCTTATTCTTTTTCTTTTTCTAAAGCTGATAGATCAAGACCAAAGACGTTGTCGTTGGTCTTGAGAAATCATATACGTTCGTTCAAAGTACAATGAAGCTCGGAGAAAACGGTGAACAATGAACAGGGGGAACTTTACGCCTAACCCTTTTCACGACTTTTCCTATCTCGAAAGTACAAAGAAAATAAAGAGGAAAAGAGAGAAAAGAAAAATCTATTCGAAAGCGATATTCTCGAGTTACTATCGTAAGCCAGCAGCGAGTGGTGGTGGTAGGCGCGCTAGGTGGCACCATTTTAAAGGGGAGTGCGAAACCGATAAAGAATGTTAAAGTCCAAGTATCGAGTGGTCGTTCATTATTCTACGTCATTTCAGGAGGGTTAGCTTCTATCAATGATCAAGAGGATTGTTAGAAGTCGTTAATTAAGTGACTGTCGAACCACTGGAATCTATCCAACCCACAGACTAATAGGTATGGCCACCACCAAGAACAGAAGGAAAGGAGAAGAGGTGGGAGGGAGAGACACCGACAGAACTTCTCCTTCAAGTTTCAAGAAATTTCCCATTTGCCGATTAATTCGTGATATCTTAATTAGTTTGAAAATCTAGAAGCCGATTAAGTTACTTACTTAATGTAAAACCAATATGGGTAATGTTAGAGAGAGAAAGGGAAACCGCTATTCACCATAATTCTTCCATTGTAAAAGCTATAATACTTTCAACGAGACGAGAAATCAAATGGGTTGTAAATCATTCAAATTTGAATGAAACGAGACGAGGGATCTCGACGTAAAGCGCTAATTCTTTACGATTGATGCTAGAAAGAAATGAAAGGTGATGGTAAAGTGACGTTTCCTGAGACAGGAAAGTGCAATCTCGGTAATGCTGCTGTCTGTCGATCTCATTGCCAATGACGATGGTAGGGGTTGGTGGTAGAGGCTGATGATACACATAGGCTTTACGCAATCCTGAGGTCACTGGCAACTTGCCGTGACCCAGCCGCAGTCCTAAATCTTTTTGGCGAAGTGGATGTTCCACGGTTTATCCCTTGTTGCCCGATCTCACGAAAGTTAGATCATGTTGCTGGACGACGACGAGTACAGAACAGGAAGAAAGAGAGAGAACGAAGAAGAAGAATGTACTGCGCTTGCGAAGAGAAAGCCACCACTGGATCTTCGATACTACTGCAGGATATCAGGATCGCAGAAACTTTGCCAATCCGTAGAAAATTGTAGAAAAAGTGGGGAAAGCGAGTTGGCTCCGAACTACGAGACGGTAAACAAAGATAAGGACTTGTTTCCTCTCAGCACTTTGTCCAGAATCCTTTTTTTCACTCTATCTGTATTTCTGTCCTTTGCTCTTTCCGCTCTTAGCCAAGTGCAAAAGTAGATTTTTATCGCTATCTAATATACGCGTGCCTTTAAAACAAACGTGTACACATATACCTATGCATGTATAACTACGTGCATATATAAACATGCTTTGAATTAAAATAAAAACGAGCTTATATTTTGCAGAAACGTGAACTTTATTATTATGATGAAAAACTCGACTCGAGGACGAAGAAATATAACTCGTTATGGAAAATGATGAATGCCTTAGACTAGGTTTTGTATTTAATAATGACAGTAGAAGAAGAAGAAGAGATATGAATGTTGTTGATAAAATTGATGTAACCATTTTCCAAAGAGATTTCTCTCGACAAAGATGAAATGAAATGAGCGAAAAAGGATAAAAGAAAATACTAAACGAGACCGATGCTGTTGGTGGTAACAGAACTACGACAATGCGGTGAGCTATGCGGTAAACTAAATACAGGTGAACGAGTTGGTCGGAAAAGGGTCGGTGGATAAAGGACCGCAAGGACGAAGACGATGATATCGGTCAAAGCCAAGAGCGGAAAGCAAGATGGGAGAGTGAAATAAAATTGACGAAAGGTGATCTATTTTTAATACGTGTATAGATACTAAATATTTGACTTAACTGATAGTCGATAAACGGCACACGTCGAGAGACACGAATTTCGGTCAAGGCTAACATTTTGCTCCGATATGATATATATATTTCCTACCAACCACTATACCTAATCCACTCGAAAAATCACACCCCTGCCAAAAACGGCGAATATATATACATATATATATATATATATGCAAAGACTGTTTTGCATATGGCCGAGTTATTTTACGTGTATGATGTGTGCTAGCTTATCGATGATTGATTGGTAACATAGGTATATGCCACATGTAATCAATAAATGAACAAATATTTGTGCGATCGATTCGCCGCGTCGCTGGGATAAATCGAAAATTTGTATATACGGCATTTAAATCGTGCGAAAATATTTTGAACGAGTAAACGTTTTAGCTTTCGTAAGCGTAAATACACGTACATACAAATAGAGATAAGAAAATAGTTGAGATTTTAGGGGTGCTAGATGCTAAAAGAAATATGAAAGAAAAATATAGTAATTGGTATAATGACCGTCGAAACGACGTTAAAGTTAAAGTCTGAAATGTTTGGACGGTCATCATACCTTCGTACGTATGTAGGTGTAGCTACTATTTCTCTAGCTATCTAGCCGCGATACGAGACTATAGTAGACGCGAAGACATTAGGCGAACCGACAGTTACGTATTTCTAGAAAAGAATTCTCAACGATACGGGAAACGAGGAATATCATCGCGCTCGTACAATATACCCTGGTTTATTTACCGTCTCTGCTATCATCTCTCTGTCGTACTTGGAGAGAAATTCACCTCCAAATATGAAAACTGGAAATATACATAAACGCGAATAATGTTGTGGATTTGTGAATCGCGCGCGGCCTTCGTTCGATATCGCTTCAAATGCATCATTAACTTTTTCATCGTCATTATTTACCGAGCTATTATTAAATTTTATTCATCACCTGTTCCAAAAGCGATAAATTTCGCTTTTTAATAATAATAACAATATTAATAATAATCATCATCATTATCATCAACATCATCGTCGGAGATTGAATATTTGAATGGCCCTTAAGTGGTCCAAGTATTGGAGTTATTCGTTGGTCCAATTCCTCTGTCCGTGAGATCGCATACTGATCGTAAGGATATTCGCTTTTGAATATTTGCGTTGTCGGTTGGAAAAGCAAAGCACCACGTGTGTAATTAACAACGACCTCTTTCCGTTAATACTTGCATACATATATCTAACTAAAAGTATACGAGAGCAATGTGTGATTTTTCGATCAATGAACAATGCATACGCGTATGTTTACCCCTTTGACGAGTAAGCTTCGTATAAATCCAATGGCGGTCGTAATATTCCTATAAAAGACTGCTACTACAGCATAATAAAACCGTATGTATAGTACGTATCTACGTGTGTATATCTACGTGTATATCTACGTGTATACCTCTTCCCAACGTGTATATAGTTAATGATCGTTTTAGTACGTTCGATTAACACCTTAACGACGAGACTATTTCTCTTGTCTATAGTAGAATATTACATCGAGTCTAGGGTCTTCTAGGGAGTCGTTCAAAACGTACTCAAAGAATACAAGGAGAGAAAAATATCAGTGGGGTCAGTGAAAGCTCGTTCGCGTAAGTCGTAGGACGAAGACGAGGATGAGAAAAGGAGGGCATTTTTCGCGGTGACACAGCGAAGAAATTCTCACACGACTCTCACAGAGACGCTTGCTCGCGTGGGAGAACTTTACGTGTGGGGAAGGTGGGTGGAGGACGAGGGTGGTTTGATGGGCGAGTAGTAGCAGGGAGAGAGCTTGCGCCTAGCCAGGTCGACTGGTTCGAGCTTGCGAGCCTTCTAGCAGCAGCCAGTCGCCGGCTGCCGGGCCACGGTCGAGCATCTCTCTTCTCGGCTACACGAGCACCGAGGAAACGCTAAGTGTGACAACTGCCACGACGACCTCGTAACCCTTTTTCTACGACCCTACCGGAACTCCCTCGGAGAAAAATCAACGACCAACTTCCCAATACCGAAGAATACTCTCTTTTTAACATTTACATTATTTTTATATTTTATCATTCATTTTATTCTCCAATACATTCATATCACTCGAAATTTATTTTCATCGATTTCCAAAATTTATGTATTATCCTTTTTCTTTTTTTCTTTTTTGATTTTTCATATTTATTGTTGTCCGCGTAAATCAAGTGAAATTTAGGGAAGAGTACAACGTGACTGCATAAAATCGTTTTATCGCGCGATAACGATTCCAAGGAAAACACCGAAGGAGGGAAAATATCGCGGTGTGCACGTTTACGTATACGTTTACAATATAGTGATAGAGAGCTGTTGTTTCTTTAAATCTTCTTCTCTGTCTCTTTATACATTCTTTATCTATCTGTACCTCTTGAAAGGAGGAAAAGGACTAACGTCAAAGAATCATGGCGAATGGCAAATAACCGCAAACCCTTTTCCGGACTGAACGTGTTTTTCACCAACGGTGGGACCATGTGAGGCTTCTACCATGACGGTGAGTCTTCTGCATTATTTTCTTTTATTTTTTTTTTCTTACCTTCCACGCGGATTCCCTCCTTTTTCCGATACTACATTCTAAAAGGGAATTTTAAATAATAATAACAGATTCGTGGAATTGTGAATTTTTATTTAGGCGCGAATTGAAATGATCAACGGAGTCGCGCGTTTATTCGTTCAAAGTCCGGCGTGAAGACGCGAAAGTGCCGATAAACGCTAGACTGGATTCTAATGGACTAAGTCGTCCGTGGACAAATTTATCGATCACGAGTTGTACCCGAGAAATACCGACAGAAAGGATAAGAGAAAGAGAGAGAGAGTATTCTCTCTTGCATTGTCGCAATGCTGCCAATTTCCAAGATTTCATCTTATCCGCAGCAAGTAGTCGTAAACATAACAACGTTCTTACCTTTTCTCCAACTTTACGATACTATTGGGTATAATAAATATTAAATATAACGTTAATTTGTGTGTAGTATCGTGCATGTAGAAATCGGCAACGCATACGTCGTTGAATTATAGTTGTACCGCATCCGCGTGTTTGAAATTATTATATTTCAACAATTATACAGATAAATGTGCGTTTGCGTGTGCGTAGATGCGTGCGAAAACGGATCGACCGTGCGGTTTTTAATACTTCGCACGCACTAAAATTCGAGAAATTCGAAACGTCCGTTTGAAATTCGTTCGATCGCGATGCTGATGCATGATAAGCCGATTAACGTCGAATGAGATCGCGTCTTAATAACGAAAAACAATACACGGCTACGAAATAAAACCAACAAAAAATCCTACCTAGCCTTCTATCCATCTATCCAAAAAAACAAGAACAAAATAAAAATCGAAAACGAGAGAGAGAGAGAGAGAAGAGATGCATTCTGAACGAACGGACGAAAAAATTGGCCGAGTTTCGCTAGGGATATTTCATTGGAAAAACGAATGGAAACTATTGGTCTTCCAACTTTTTTGTGTTGTATTTTTCTATTTTTTTCTTTTTTTTTTTTTTTTAAGTATCAACTATGGTTTTCGCACCTCAACCGTACTTCTATAGAGAACAAAAAGTTTTCTACGACCCTCACTTTACTACTAGTGCTCTGTAATAAATCATATTTGAAAGTTTTCCAAAAGCTCTACTAGCACACATCGTCTAACCAAACTTCCTTCTTACACCCTACGTTATTATCCTATATTACGACATACTGAAAATTAATAGACATAATTGATCGACTCGATCTAATCTTGGAAAAATACCAAATTCACTAACATTGACAATTTTTTCTCTGTTACAATAGTTAAGATTTTGAATAAGTTTCGGTCGCTTGTTAATTTGATCAAAATACCTCTGTCTCTGTCTATCTATTTATGGTGTAACGTAGATATTCGTTAATTCTTCTTAACTTTCTTAACCGCGTTCCATTTATTAAAGGAAAAGAAGAGAAGTGGGACGTACTACTAGCCGAGTGAACTCCTTAAGAGAGATGTTAAGTTTGATAAACTTTGCGAACGTTCAGAATTGATTTATAAGTCTCGTCTATCTTTCTTTCTCTCTCTCTCTCTCTCTCTCTCTCTCTCTCCTCGAGATCTAATTTTGTCGAATAAAGCCTTGTATTTCGCGCAGTATAATAAAACGTTTCTCCTTATATCTGCGATATTTTCAAATAATCTCATCCCCCCCGTGTAGTCTTTCTTTCTTTTTCACTACTTTTGTCTCTCCAATGCTTACAAGAGAATATATCATCCACCTAAAATGAACGTTTTATGACGATATATATATCTCGTTGTTTGATTCAATTTATGTTTTTCTTTTTTATGTTTTTTTTTTTATTTTTATTTTTCGATCGTTTACATATTAACGTTTTACATTTTTCGATTTGTCTTGTTTTATTTTGATATGATATTTTTCTTTTTATCAAAATTTTGATGTTTCAATTAAAACAAATGTAACAACGAAATTAACGAAGTACGCGGCAACTCGGTTAAACGATAAACTCATTAGCATTTACATGGACCACGCAAGCAGCAATCGCTGATGTTCTCCAGAGGGGATAGAAAGTAAGAATAAAATGTGGACGAGAGAAAGAAAACAGTAAGGGGTAGCAAAGGAAAGAAAAGGGAAAAATGCCGATATCGAACGTGACGGAAATTCGTTTTTCGCGAGATAGTAATACTCGGGGAAAAAAGTTATGCTTTTCACGACCGGTGGACCCACATCGACGCAGCCGGTAGATTTACATATTTAATGCAATTACGCTAATCGACGAAAAAGTTTCTTTTCCGACGCTGCAGTTCCGGTGCAGCCGGTCGCCGCAACTACTACCGTGGCCACTATTACAGCATCGTTCTTATTGCCAAAGACCGAAAAGGAAAAAAAAAGGAAAAAAATGAGAGTTGGTATTAAAGAAAAGAAAAAAATATCTTCAAAAAAGAAGGTTCTCGGTCAAACATACTTTGCGCGAAATAAATATAAGAAAAAAAGAAACGTTAAAAGCAAGTCGAAGTCGAACCCAAAATTGAAGTTGAAGCCGAAGCAGAAATCGAAATACGTAGGACGGTAAAAGAGGGTAGTCAGTCACCCTAACCGAAAGTGTCTAACACATAACCGAACCTTCCGGACGACAAAAGTTAGTTGGCAAAGAGAGAGAGAGAGAGAGAGTATCAGCGCGTTGTAGCTGTGCACTCGCAACAGCGAGCAATGTTTAACGCTAGACCAACACAAAACTCGTCGAAATAACGAATCTCTTATTTATTCTCCTCTATCACAGTATCAAATGGTTATTATTACTAAAGTGATTGTTCTTTTTTTTACCTTTTTTTATAAATTAAATATGAGTGCGTTAAATTTATCGTTAAATTCGATAGAAGATATAGGAAAAACACCTGTCTAATATTATGTGACAAAACGTAGTATTGAATGAAGCAACGTTAAAAAAAAGTTATAAACGAAAAAACACCGTCCGACTACTCGTGCAATCAAGTTCGTTATGCAGATATTAAATTCATGACTAATATAATTGCTTTTGCACAAAGATAATTTTTTTCTCAAGCAAAAATACAAATTTACTGTTTAACGATCGACCACTTTGATGTCTTCGACGTAATGGATATTAAAAAGTCATTTCGCAGAATCTTTACGCGCAGGAAATTTTATTCTGTAATAAATTGAACGATGATCCATATACACGGCTAAAAATGAAAATTCTTTTTTTTTTTTTTGTTATAAGCTATTAAGAGAACGATTAATCTCTAATTGTAAGCTTTGAAATACGCATGACGTTTAATAAATAATGTCAGATAAATCTTAACAGTTTTCGATAAACTGACCAATCTTCGTTCACGAAGAAAACACGTTAGATGAAAATTAATTCGATTCTATCGACATCACGATACCATCGAATTATTCTAATATCCTGAAATTCCGATCGCCGATTCTGAATGTAAAGCACTGCCAGCTTTGGGTCGATGTACAGTCTGCTGCAATGGGGCAACTCAAACGAGGAGAATCCAATAAGAGAGAACGGCAGATTATCCATTTACAATTAGAACGACTCATTTCCATAATATTAAGGAAAATAAATTACGATAATTCGAACGTCTATAAAAAAAAAAAAAAAGAAAGAGAAAAATTAACGTTATCGTGCCAAAAGTCGCGTTATACGCGTTCACTAAAGGAATAAACTAGGAAAAGATGGGGGAAAAAAAATGTCCGTGCCATGTAACGAGAAAACGCGAACGAGTTAGAGAACGTGGAGACCTTTGATTGATGACCTTCGAAATCAATTTCCGCGTTGGATTGCCTTGATCATGTGAAAAACATCTCCAACAGGTGCGGCGCCGTTGATCAGGAAGAAAATCGAAGGGTGTATCGACCACCTACGACGCGAACGGAACTTTATGCCCTGTACGAGGATATATTATTAAAATTACACGGAAGAGGAAGAAGAGGAAGAAGAAAGTACGTTCCGTTTTCCTATCCCAATTTTTTGTTGCTTTTTTTCTTTTCTTTCTTTTCTCCCAATCCCCTTTTACCGAAATTTCTTTGGAATAATTGTCGAGGAGAAAAAGATTCCTTCGGAAGAAATAAATCGAACGTTACTAGGAAAGCTTTATGTTTTCAATATCGCTAGCTCTCGAACGTGTAGGATACTACGTAAGTAAAGGGAAGAGAAATGGAACGCGGAATATCAGGCAAGATATTCGAGGGAATCGTAAATCTACATAGAATATTTTTAACGCAGGCAGAACCTTCTGTTACATCTTTCCTTTTCTATCGCGTAACCCGTATTACATTCGATTTGACTTTTCCTTCTTCCCACATTCGTATACATATGACTAAGTCCGTGGAAAATCAGAATCGATATATGTATAATCGTTGAGATTCCGAAATCCAGAAGCACTTTCTAAACTATTTTCTAGCTTTTGGTAGAATTGTAGGACCTCGGTCGGAGGAAAATCGACAATCCCCTTTGAAAATAACACTCCGGCTCGACAAAATAAATCGTCTTACGTCAGCAATTTGGGATCTCTTTCGAACAAAAGCTCAAAGACTGGTAAAAGCATCCTACCGAAAAATGGCTGCTGCTCTGGTAGTGGTCGATGAGCGGCGTGGGAAGTAAAAGGAAGAAAAAGAAATTGCTAAAGTCCCCGAATAAAAGATAAAAATGCATCATCAGTTCGGCTATGTCCTACGGTTACTGGCATAATATATGAAAATTTGGAAGACGTTTTTCTCAAGGGTGGTCTTCTTGCTTAGGAAAGAGAAAAGAGAAAACGGAAGGATGGAAAGGAAGTTCCTAAAGAAGAAGGAGGAGGAGGAGCAAGAAAAGAGTAAGGTGCGGTCGAGTGTAAAAGAAGGTCAAAAAGTAAAGTTCAAAAAGAAAAAAGGAAAGGAAGCTTTGTTCGCGGTATATCCCAAGAAGCAAATGCGCCGAGCAGAGTTCGTTGTAGGATTTGGTAGAAGTCTCCTTATCGTTTACCGCGAGCCCTTGTCTTTCTCTAGGTAGCTAGGTAGCTCTTAATCGGCTTCCCCTCTTCTCTTCTTCAAAACTTATTTCCCTCGATTCCTGTGAATTGTCGCATATCGCGCGTACCCGGAAGACTTCGAACAAACTGGCAAGTGGTAGGAAGAAAAACATGGGCTTTCGTTGCCGAGCTTTTTTCTAGTAAATCGAGAATAAAGAACGGTTGAGTAAGGTATTAAAAGGCATCAGGGATATTGTAGGTATGGAAGATTTTTCACAGAAGGCAACCACCACCACCACCACCCACTTACGATCGCAAATCATCCGACGAGATATATTAAAGTTTCTGAAACGTTATCGTTACTCGTATATCCCAGACACACGACGCTCGTGCGTCAAAGCGCATTTTTCTATTTTTTCTCTCGAAATACGTGCTGAAAAATTTAAGCGAGAAAGAAAGTCTTCGAATTCGGTTCACGTCGAAGAACTTAATACGCGAAACGCGCAAAAGGGCGGTAAGCGTGAATAATCGTTACGCTGGTGTGGTCTTGCACGGCTAGACCTTGCACCTATTTTATGCAGAACAGGTTAAAGGCAAGTGCTGAAAGAAAGAAAAAATGAGAAGAAAGGAGGAACCGAACTGGATATCCATTATGGATCATTATCCAAACTCGATTTATAATCCGTGCTTCCGAACATTTCGACTATCTCCAAAAGCTACTTAATACTGCTTAAATAGATTCTATGCTTGTAATCGTTCGATTACATGGAATCGTTAAAGGCTGCAATACGAACCGATAAGTAATAAATTTAACTAAATAAAAATTATTATATCATTGTCGATCCTGTGTTTCTCTACAAACTATCGAATAAAATCAAAGCTGAGTAATCTCGGTAAAATTTCGCTCTCGAAGCATCAGCTATATCGTCTTCATATCAACGAGTGCAGCAAATTTAAAGATTCGAAATTCTGGGAAATTCGCTGAAATCTCAACATCTCGTCGAATATATNTCGAACTACGATGTATATTATCATCGTTAAGAAGAAACCATCAGGTTTCTCGAGTTGTATGTAAGTAAATAAGTACTTGCACGTTAGGATGTCTGATTCAATACAGATGTTACTACTTAATTTATGCATTCCTATATATATATATATATATATATATATATATATCGTACATATATATACATATCTTTCTCTCTATTTCTACCTATATATCTTCAGTTTTCTCGCACTTTCCACTTGCGCAGAAAATTATGCTCACGACTATTTTATTCCCTCGTTCCACCTCTATCGAGGAATTTAATATCTTCGTGGCAGATAAATCGTAATCTCGAGATTTTCGAATAATTTTATTTCTCTCTCTCTCTTTCTCTCTCTCTCTCTCTCTCTCTCTCTCTCTCTCTTATCTGTTTCTGTTTTTCCAAGTAACGACTTTTCTTTTCAAACTAAATACAAGTACCATTTTCCTTTCCCCGTTTCTCTGTGTGGTACGCGCGCGCGATGATACTTACTATCTTTCGAAAATCAAGCTTAGCTGGCACATTCCTTGAACACGGATTATATAGCTACTAGGGAAGCTCGTTTATCTCGTTTGCTAATAAATACACGTCAAAGGTTGGCTCTGAAAGGAACGCGTAGGATGTTAGCGAGAGAAATGGGGGGATGCTTTCGATAATTTAATTATCGACGCGACGCCGTGCCGTGCAGTGCCGTGCAATGCCGTGCCGATGACGAGGACAGAAGCAACGAGGAGAATGCGTCCCGTTGTGTAATTACTATCGCTCAGAGATCCAATAATAGCACTATAATGCCACGAGTACGGGTAACGTGTACGATTTAGTCTATAAATTAGAGATGTCTTTTTCGACTAGGCGTTCTATACCTGATTTATCTCCTACGCCAAATTCTCTCTTTCTCTCTCTCTCTCTCTCGTTTTTTCTATATATATTTAGATCTATCTCTCTTTCACTTGCCGTTATCGTTTCCCAACACACTTGTTTGAATCGAGAGATACACGAGAGGCTAGTTGCTACTGCATAGTTCTTCCAAAAGAAAACAAAGAAAAAAAAGCATAGAATCTATATAACAAACGAGAGAGAGAGAGAGAGAAAGAGAGAGAGAGAGAGAAAGGAGGACTGGACATACCACTGCAAGTAAACGATAAAAAGTGTACGCTTCGATCTATGTGCATAGCTCGTTTCATACTAGAAAAAAAAGATATCGATTTAAAAGAATCTACGAAATTGATTTGTTTTTAAAAGAAAATGACTAATACCACGATCACGGTGAATAAAATAAAAAAAAAAATGTATTTGACTCCACGCGTATATATAGGAAAAAATATCAAATCCTAGGATCATTTTTACGTTCGCGTTAAAGGCGAATAAGAAGGAAATTAATTCGAGGTCAAACATAGTGAAATGAAAAAGTCGTCGTCGTCGTCGTCGTCGTCGTCGTCGTCGTCGTCGTCCTTACTGTCTACACGATAGGGACGAATATTACGATTTTGCTTGAGAAAAAGACGCGATTACTCGGAGGACGGCCAGAAAAAAGGATTCTTTATTTTTTCCCTCTTTCTATTTCCCTTTCTCCCTCTCTTTCTTTCAATGTCCTCCTTGCGCCAACGACTTGGCAGAGTCTAAAGATTTTCTTTTCGTTTTTCCAAGCAACGGCATCGCTGCTGATTGGGTCTTCTTTGAGAAAGGATTCACCGTGCTAAAATTGATTTCTTGTTCAATATCAAGAGAGAAAGAGAAAGATAAAAAGAAAGAGAGAAAGAAATAAAGAAATAAAGAAAGAAAGAAAGAAAGAAAAAGGAAAGCTATCTTCTTCCCTTCTCTTATCGTCTCGCACGGCAGGATATTCTCGACATTTTTCTATTAGATCGTAAGATGTAATTTCAAGTGACGTTTTCAACCACGAAGATTAAGCTATCTTCTAAATAACTTCCTTTCTTACCTATATATATAATATGTAAAAAAAAAAATAATTAAGAAGATTGTCGTCTTTTACAGTCATCACCTAACTTCCCTGTAACGAGCACGAAAAAAATAATAATAAAAAGAATACGCAAGTGGCAAAGGTAATTTCATTAATTCAATTTCGAAGTGGCGCGCATATAGCGAAACGAGAAAACTCACCAAGTGCGAAATAAACGTTCACACCCAGGATCCTACTAGATCGTGATAATTTTCCAGCAGGAGCTTTTACAGCATCGTTCTCTAACCAACTACACCCTCGTTCACCACACGTGCTTCCGAAATTTTTCCAAAGTGTATATTTTCCGCGAACAGACCGTTAAGACAATTTCCAGTTACGAGTTTCTCTCGTTTACCTTCTTCCCTTGCAACACCCCAATTTCGGTGTCCTTCTGTCCGGTTAAATTATAAAAAAAAGAAAAAAATTAAAAAGATGAAACGAAAGGAACGATATTATCGCGTCTAGTGCAATTGAAATGAAACGAACAGATGCGTGAGAAAAATAGAAAAAAACAAAAATAAAAGAGCAACGGATAAGAGAATGAAGTAAAATAGATGCACTTCTGACGAGTCTCTTATACCTTGGTGAAAATGTAGAAAAGGAGTAAAGTCGATGAAAACGAGTATGTATGTATGTACACATCGAGAGTATATACATGCATGAAATATGCCATGCGAACGCACTCAAATGTTTAAGAGCCCGTATATGAAGCCGAGCTTCGCGCTCCTTGTTTTCTCACTCGGCCCTTTTCACTCGCAGATCGCTCTCGATTGCGATCTCGCGTCGTTCATAATAAGAGCGCAACATCTACTCTATCTTACGTTAAAGTTCAAATTAAAAACACATATGCGGTTTAATTTACTCCATGAAAAAAGATAATTACAAAATCAACAAAAAGATCGATGAAAGAATTTTTAAATAACATGCTATTTGAACGTAACTTCAATGGAGTTTCCGAGCCAATAAACTACCCGGTATTTACGTTTTAAAACCATTAAATAAATTCTAAAAGATATCGATTACCAAAGTTTAACGAGACCCCCCCCCCCGGTTGTTGTTGATTAAATATTAATAACAATGCTTACAAGTATTTGCAATATCGAATCTAGTCTTTTATAACTGCTTTCAATTATCTACAATTTAATATACTTCAACTTTAAAGAAGTAATAATAAAATAGTTAAATATTTGCTCGAAGTATTCTGTTTAAAAGTCATTAAGATAATCGACTTGATAAAGCTTGAGGTAAAAGTTACTAATTCTCTGCTTTTATTATGTTTTCTCCAAAATTGCAACGCCAAAACTTTCTCTTCTTTAGTTAACTTCCATTTCATTTTTAGAAAGATTTAATGTAAGATGCACATTAATGAACAAAAAAAAATGTTTAATCACATTCCTACATTGCAAATGAAATGCAACGTAATGATCAATCATAATCAAGGTTAAAAAAAGCTCAACTTCATTTCGTTTACGTTCGAACACCAAGATAAAATTTCAAGGAATATAATATAATGCATATTTGCATATGCATTTCTAATGTAAATGCTTTTTGGTACTTACATATACATACGTAGATGGAGAGAACTGCAATGGATTATTTATAAACGTCATCTTCTCCTTCAATCTGCAATATATTCTTTCCATTCGTTAATGGAACTGTTTGAAATCTAAAAATTAAAAAACATTAATTAATACAACGTAAATATTAATATATAAAACAAAAACAAAGAAACAAATTCTATCTGTTTTTTTTTTTATCCGTGTACACAACGTTGATATTTCCTAAAATGTAAATAGACATTAATTAACATTAATTAATATTCCACCATATTGATGCCCGCCTTTTTTTTTTTTTTTATTGGCCATCCTGGATACTATACTAAACGTATACAATAATGCACATATAAAAGTTAAGTATGATATGCAATTATATAGGTGTTAATTAATGAATTATGAATAATTGAGACAAAAATTATTAAAATGTAATGATAATATGAGTAATGTTAAAAATAAATGCGATAATATATGATAAATCATGACGACGACAATGCAAATTTGATTTTCGCAAATATCTCTTAACCTAAATATTGAAATGAACTGTAATGTATAAAAACTATAGATTATGTGTTAAAAAGTAAGAATGATGCATTGGAAAATAATGTATTATGAAAATAAATAGGTTATTTACTTGTACATAATTAGAAGAAGAAAAGTCACGCGACGACAATGTTACTACCGGCACCGCACTGATTGACTTGCGCTGTTGCGAGCTAAGATCGTGTCGCACATGCGCATGACGTCACGAGTGCGCGCGCATCCATTTTCTAAAGGCGGCTTATTGAGAATATTTAAATACATCTAAGTTACTAAAAATTTAGGAATAAAAAAATTGATAAATTAAAGCAATTTTATAAATAAAAACATAACAAAATAAAGCCCTTAATACAAATTACATAAGAATAAAACTGAATAATATCAAGGAAAATATATGCAAAAGCAAAAATTCTCGTTTACAAATTTTAAAAAGTGACTGCCAATAAATGTTACCATAGAATGCAAATCTCTTAGTAACTAATGAGTTTTCATCGTACGTATTTGTCGTAACGAACTAACTTATGCAAACCCAGTAACCGCTTGCAAATTCAATCAGTGGACATGTAATCGATTCACTATGCGAAGAAGAACGAGGCAAACATTCAACAGTGAAATTTCACGGGGAAATTTTCAAAAGTAAAACGTCACGACGCGTATCAATTAACCTCAATTCACGAAGGAAAATTTGTATTGTTTCAATGCACAATACGAATAAAATGCGAACGATGCAGCATCGAACATCCCGTATCACGATTGTTCGTTCGTTCGCTCGTTCATTCGTTTAATGATTGTATGCATACATAGTATAGATTTCAGTTGCAAACGACTTTAATGGCATTATATGAAAACGGTGATCAAGCTTTTATACGATTTTATATCCACTTCGTTGAAAAGTTGTTTAAGAAATAGGATTAACGATAAATAAAAAGAATTGGTCGATTAAAAATACGAAAAAACTGGAACGGGAAAAAGAAAGAAAGAGACAGAGAAGGACAATATTTTCTATAAAATTCGTCGAGCCAGGTCAAAATTAAAGGAGAGAGAAAACGTATAGCGCGTGAGAGGTTCGCGTAACTCACAATCAGGCGCGTCTCGTGGCTAGATAAATTTAATGTCGAGAGCTAGAAAGCGAGAGAAAGAGATAGAGGAAGAGGAACGTTGGCGTAAAATAGTGGAAGGATTTTGGAAGCGCTTGTTCGGAATAATTCGGTTAGTCGTGAACAAGCGTTGTTATATAACAGTAGTTATAGTAGTAGCAGTAGCAACAGTAGTAGCTTTGCTTGTTCGTTAAAATATGTATGTATCAAAAAGGATGAAAGTTGGTGGTCGATATTAATTCATAGCCGTGTTCCTTACGAATGGAAATAGGAGCTGTGCGTTATATGTCAGAGGTCGAAAGCTACGTACGAAGCGTTGAGAGAAAATTTAGAAGCAAACGTAAGAAGAAGAAGAAGAAGAAGATGATGATGATGATTGCGAAAGAGGAAGAGAAGGAAGACGAAGGTGTCGTGAATCCTCTTCTTCAAATCTATTCCGTGCATAGTCAAACGTCGAAGAAGTCGTACGTGCCTCCGCATATTCTGCTCCGTACATTTCGAGTAATTGCAAGGAATTTCAATGACGCACGAACAAAAGGGTTGTCCGTGTAAACTCGGATGATTGGTCGCCTGCTCTTTCTCTTCTCGTCTCTCTCTCTCTCTCTCTCTCTCTCTTGCTCTCTTTCTCTCTCGTTTTCCACACAGCCGCGACGAGGCAAAGGCAAACGTGTGCGGGAATAAAAAAGAAAAAACCATCTCGACGTTCTCGACTGTCGTGTCCTGATGCAGAAGGGAGAAAAACGATAGAAAGGGGAGGAAAAAATCACCCGTTGGATGAATGTACTTTCAGCCATCATACGTGTCTCGCGTACGAGCTTGCGAAAGTAAAGTAAAGAGAGAGAGAGAGAGAGAGAAATTTCATATCGGTCGTCTTTCGAGATATGGAAATGCGAGAATTACATCATCAGAGGAAAAATGTGTTTCCTGGCCGGTGAAATACATATATCCGTAAAACGACGTGTAGTCCTCCTTTTCCCTTTCCTATTCTACCTTGCCGGTAATAAAATATATCCAATCGCTACGTAAAACTTACCGATGCGAGAAAGCTGTGGAAAATTAATCTCACCACTACCTCTCACCGTTCTTCTCGCCGTCGAATAACCACCACCTACAAAAAGATTTCTTTAAAGGAAAACTCAAATTCGTGTAGTAAAGAATGTAAGAAACGTTCGTTGAATCCAAAAGGATTTACTTATTCGATCTATCTATCCTCTTCTTTCTTAAGATTCGTAATTTCAAACTTTCGAATCTTATTATAATTCGGAATAAACGTAGCAATGGGTAAGGCTTGCAATTAATTTCTAAAATTCAAAAAGAGAATCACATTATTAAGTCCGTTCTCGCGGTATATTTCATAAGAATTCTCTTCTAAGGTTTTTTTTTCAAGTATTTTACGAAACACCTGGGAGAATCCAAGGAATTCGCCATTCATAATTATAAAGTTGGCGAGGGCGTTGGAAAAGTTGGAAGAAAATATGAGAAGGGTTATTATGTAATTTAGGCGACCCAAAATTACGTAAGAACGTGATAAAAAAAATAAATAAAAATAAAAATAAAAATACGTTACTGGGTTTTAAAAGAGTATGCAATTTTTCCCTCATTAAATTCACATCCCGATGTTTCTGTATTGATGTATTCTACATTTTTAATAAGGTATGCTAAAATATATTGTATCCATAAGATTATAAATATTGATTTAAAAATGCTTGCATTAAAGATTTGCATAATTCACTTGTTATAAATAATCCTTTGAAATGAAACATATAATTAATATGTAATAAAGATATACTAATGTATTCATTTGAAAATTGTTTTCATAGTAACGCACACCATACCAATAGCTTTGAAAGAAAAATTTTGTAAACGCAACTATATAGGATTTTTAAGTGACAGTCATTGCATGTTCAATGGATCGATCGTGCTCGTTATTGTTGCACCGAGAGACCAATCTCTCTATTGTTTCGTGTTCCTTGCTAAGCAAACAGCAATGCTATGCATTCCTGTGCATTCGTAATATCGCCATCAGCAAATTACAATACTTTAATCCTTTGTTAAAATTTAATCAGGAGTTTGCTTAAGTAGTTGCCATTATACTTGTCTTGAGAAAACTAGAATTCAAACAAAAACCATACACATACATTTACAATATACATTAAATACATTTATACAAGATAAATTTATAATTTAAAAAAGAAAAAGTATAGAAAGAAAAAAAAAGATAAAAAATTGAAATGTAATGCGAACACACTTTGATGCGGTGCTTTACCACGTAAATCGGATACAGCTTTGAGGTGAAATTTTCCAGTGGAATAGGAGGTAGTTCCAAAGCCGACGTGCTCTTGTCTGGAATTGATACCTTGTTCGGCTATCTAAACTCGAAATGCTAGACAAGAGAGAAAGAGTGAAAGAGAAAGAGACCGGATATTTAAACTGCGAATCGAAACGAAAAGCTTGGACTAGTCGATCGTTCTTTCATAGTGGAGAGCTTTTCACAAATTTGACGACAAAAACAAAGAATTTCTTTTTACAGAAGTGACAGACAATACAGTACAGTACCTCGTATCTATATGTTCACGTCCATTCGCTTGTACGAGAAAAAGAAAAAGAATAAACAAGAAATATCTATTCGAACTTTCGATGGACTCTATCTTTGTCATTTTTGTGACGTAGAGTTTGAAAATGTTCTTTTTATTTTTTTATTTTCTTTCTGTCGTGTGTAAAAACCGTGTAAGCTAATAGAATAAAATAAAATAGAATTGAATAGAATAGAATATTGTACAATATAATAAAGATTGAAACTCTCAATTGAAATACAATCGACTTATCGACAATCCACTTACCTGATCTAATATGTTAGTACTCTTGAAAGTAGCGCATGTACCACTGGAAAGCAGAGCTCTTTAAAGTCCTTTTAATCGGAAAGCTTTCCATCGGAAACTCTGACACATACTGCAGACAAAATATATACGTTGAATTCTTCTCATTCTTAGAAGAGAGCTTTATATTCTGTAATGCTTCCAACGAGATTTTAGTTAATGCTTAGCAGTACTCTCAACATCAACTTTCAAAGATGATATTACAAGTTCGTTAATAGTTAGTACAGTATAGAATGTAAATTATATATCTTATCTATATAAATTATATTCATATATATATAAAGTTACTTTACTTTCAAGTTGCCGAAGATACTGGATATCCAACGTTGGCTAATCGTTTTCGATAATGCGTCAAAGTTTTGCTTGGACAATAAACTGATCACTCGCTGAATTTCAGGATACTCTCCTCTTCTAACGAAGCCTCCACAGTCTTTAGATAAACGACGAATTAACGAACTTTCTTAATCTTATGGATTACCTACAAGAAATCGAGTAATTGAAAAGGAAAATCTATTTATTCGATTAAACTTTTCGTTATATAATAAAATGTATTTTGTTAAATAAATAATCGAAAATTTGACCGGCCAATTAGATACCTTGCGTATGGATATAAATCATATTTGTTTAATTTAAATATTATTTATTGTATAATTGTGTCAATATTTTATTATAAATATTAATGATTTGTCTAAAATATTGATTAAAATTGTTTGAATAAAATATTGTCTCGGATAAACAGAATCCATTAGAAAGTGATTCTTTAAAAGATACCTCTTCTTAGAGTGAAGAAAACCTACTTGTTTGAATATTTCAAAGAAGAAGACGGGAGCGTGGTCGACAACGAAGAGAAAAAAGCGATCAAAGATATCGGTGAAGAGGACGACAAAAAAAAAAATAAAAAAGAGAGAAACAAGGAGAAAAGTCGTTGGTGAAGAATCTCGAATTTTTTTATTGAATATTTTTGATGTTCACTTTTGCCAAATCGTGTTTTGCCAATCCAACAAATACTGACCATGACTTTTCCTTAACTTTATTATTGAAATTAATAAGAAAAAGAATATAATGGCATAAAAAAAAGAAAGAAACGATTCTTCTAATTTTTCTTACAATCAAAGGTGCATTCAAACAAAAATAATTAACGATCGTACCTTTCTATTCCAAAAAACACTTGGAAAAATTCGTCAGAAGG